CTAGCACGCCAGGAGCGGCGGATCCAGTGGCCTTCGGCCCATCTTGCCACCGTGCCTGGAGTGGTGTGGGGCAGAGTCCTCAAGGATGCTTCTTGGGGTCTCGTCGGAGCGCTCTCGGGGGCCTCTTGGGATCAGTTTTTGGGGGCCTCTTGGGCCCTTTTGGGGTCCTCTTGGGAGCCTCTTGGGAGCCTCTTGTGGCTGGGGCCTCTTTGGGTCCGCTGGGGGCCTCTTGGGGGCATCTTGGGGCATCCTGGGGGCCTCGCGGGGCCAAGGGCTCGGAAAGAGCGCGTTCTGTAGTCGCTTGGAGGGGGGGGGTGGGTTGGAACCGGACCGCCCCCTCCCCTGGATGGAGGTGGAGAGATCCGACCCCCCCCCCCCCCCCTACCTCCCCTACTCCCCCTACTCCTCCTCTCTCCCTCTCCTCGGGCCAGCGCCTGCTTCGGCGGCGGCTGGCGGCGGCGGCGGCGGGGACGACGATTTCCTTTTCTGGGCCGGCGCTGGCGCCTGCGGCGGCTGGCGGCGGCGGCGGGGAGCGTCGACGAGGACGACGGTGGTGGTGGTGGTGGGTTGTGGTGGTGGTGTTGTGGTGGTTTGTGGTTGTTGCGGTGGTGGTGGTGGGTTGTGGTGGTGGTTGTGGAGGTGGTGGTTGTGGTTTGTGGTGGTGGTGGTGGTGGTGGTGGTGGGTTGTGGTGGTGGTAGTGGTGGTGGTGCTGGTGCTGGTGCTGGTGGTTGTGGTGGCGGTGGTGGTGATGGTGGTGGTGTTGTGGTTTGTGGTGGTGGTGGTGGGTAGTGCTGCTGGTAGTGGTGGTGGTTGTGGCGGTGGTGGTGGCAGTGGCGTGGTAGTTGTGTGGTGGGTTGGTGGTGGTGGGTTTTTGTGGTGGTGCTGGTGATGGTGAGTTGTGGTGGTGGTGGTTGTGGTGATGGTGGCTGTGGTGGTGGTGGTGGTGGTAGTTGTGTGGTGGGTTGGTGGTGGTGGTGGTGGTGGTGGGTTGAGGCGGTGGTGGTGGTAGTGGTGGTGGTGGTAGTGGTGGTTATCGTCGCTGCGTCCCCGCCGTCGCCAGCGCCAGGGGTGGGGGGGTTGAAGCCACCCCCCCTCGGCGCCGAGGGGGGGGGGCTTGAACCCCCCCCCTTGGGCTGCCTCTGGTCATCGTCGCTGCGTCCCCGCCGTAAGCGCTGCTGGCGGCCGCCAGGGCCGGCGGCGAGGGGGGTGGGGGGGTTTGAACCACCCCCTCCCCCTGGGGGGGGGAGGATCCGGGAGGGGGGGGATTCGGGGGGGAAGGGAGTCCCCTGGTTTTGATCGACGGCGCCGAGTGTTGGGGGGGGCCCACCCCCGGGTTCGAAACGCGCCGCCGAGTGTGCCCAAGGCAAGCGCCCGTGAGACGCGTTCTCTCAGGGCTCGAAATGTCCGTTCGGGTCCCCCGTTTGGGCCCCCGCTTGGAGCCGTCTTTGGGGGCTTGTTGGGACATCTAGGAGGCCTCGTGGGCTGCCTTCGGGCCCTCTGGAGCAGTCTCGAGGCTTTCTTGGATGCCTCATGCGCCGTCTTGGGGCGATCTTGGGGGCCTCTTAAGCCGTCTCGGAGCGTCGGGAAGCCGAAGAGGCGATAACGCCCAAATCATTCAAAACCTGAGAAACAAACTAATGATTCGCGCCTCTTGGGGCGTCTTGGGAAGATCTTGGACCATCGTGAGACAGTCTTGGGCGTCTAGGGCCGATCGTGCGGCGACTCGGGCCCCCTTAAACAGTCGTGGGGCCCTTTTGGGGGCCTGTTGGGGCCCTTCGGGCCCGTCTGGGGGCCCTTTAAGTGACGAAAATATCATGGGGGAAGACGGCATGGACCCCACGGGGGAGGCCGGGGACCCCAAGAGATTTGGCACTTTCGGGCATGGGCACCTTAAGAATTTCAGGATTGAGGACTGAGGCTGAAGGGACTGGGCCAAGGAACTGAGGACACTCCAACTCGGGCCTCAAGGACACGGTGGCGGATGTGTGCGCTGGCCAAGGCCAAAATGTCGGTCGACGTTTGGGATGCCGTGGTTGCCGTTTTGGGGGGCGCGCCGATTTTGGCCAGATCTTGAGGGCCCCCAAATCATCGTGTTCCCCGCGCTCGCCTCTGCGAACAGCGCCGGCGTCGAGAATGTATTTCCGCGCGCATATACACATGTATGTCTCGTGTGTATATGTATGGATATATTACATATACCCATGTGTATATATACATACACATATACATATACATATACATATATATATATATATATATATATATATATATATGTGTGTACGTGCATATGTCCATTCGACACACACACACACACACATATGGCGGTATGGGCCGGGAAAGGGCCGTTTAAGTGCGACCTCTAATGCGCATTGGGTCCCGCGATCCAAAAGTGATAGATTTCGTTGCGGTTTTCATTGGATTGCGTCGTTCTCTCCTGTGCGGGCGTCGCCGGACGGTCCTGGCCGGCCTACGAGGCCCCTTACTACCGCTCCGAAACGGCCCAACCCGGTCATCATACGCCCCCCACGAGACCCACGAGCGCCCCCGCATCGCCACCGACGCCCCAAACAGCCCCTAAACAGAATTCTATAGGGCCCCAAGACGGCCTCTACTGGCTTCCAAGACGCCTCATACAGTCTCCGAGCGGCCTCCGAGACGGCTCATTCGGCTTCCAAGAGGGTCAACGCGGGCTCAAAGAGGCCCCCCACGATTCCTGCGAGGGGCATACAGCATTGATTTCCCAAAGGCGCTTCACTTTTCAGTGATTCTGGCGTTCTCTTGCTCGGGCGTCCGACGCCCTCGATGGCCAAGGACGCCCTTACTGCCGCCCCGAAGCGGCGAAATACGGCCACCAGACGCTCCCAACGAGCCCACACACATTCCTAGATCGCCGAGGGGCGCCCCGAGTCGACCGACCAGACGTGCCCTCTAACAGATTCCTGCAGGGCCCAGAGACGACCGGATGATCCCCAGCAGGCTCCCGTGACGCCTCCCAGGCTTCCAAAACACCTATAGCCCCCGGGCGGCCTCCAAGACGGCTCACAAAGGCACCAATATTTCCGTTGTTGTTTTACGATTTCGGCGTTCTCTCGTGTTCGGGTTTCTGGTGGGCCACGACGCCCCAAGAGGGACTCCTCCTACCGCCCAAAGCACCACCACACGCTCCCAACAAGGCCGCAGGCGACCCCAGATCACCCAAGGAACCCCCCAAAGACGGTCACACACGTCCTCTCACCGATTCCAACTCGGGCCCGAGATGGCCTCAGAACCGCAAGCTGGCACCCACGAAGTCCCCCAGGACTCCCAGACGTCTCCTGGATGCTCGGGGCTCCAACCGGGCCTACAGAAGAGCCCTCCGACCCTCCATTGAGGCTCCACAGGACCTTCCTCTGAGCCCTTTGGTACGCAATCCCACGACGGCACACACGCACCACGATCTCCCAGCAGGTTCGCTTGCCCTCCCTCCCTCCCTCCCTCCCTCCCCCAGCCAACCTCCAGCGAGAGGCCTGGGAAGTCTTCCGAGGACACACGGCTCCCTCTCCACCCAAGAGGCACACATGAGCGTCCAAGGACGCCATCTTGCACTCGTGACGATCCCTTCGACGACTTGTGAGAGCCTCCTCCCCTGGAGCGTCCGACGAGGTCAGGCGACGATGCCGAGGAGGGGGAGCAGAAGGGCGAAGGAAGGTGGAAGCGTACAAGGGTGCGGGAATGAGAGGGACAGGCAGGCAGCGGAAGAGGAGGAGGAGCAGGATGAGAGGGATGACATCACATTGACTCGACGGCTCTCGCTAGCTGACGCTGGTGTAGAGAAAAAGGAGGAGCAGGGAGGAGTAGGAGGAGGAGTAGGAGGAGGAGCAGGGAGGAGGAGGAGGAGGAGGAGGAGGAGGAGGAGGAGGAAATGGAGGAAATGGAGGAAATGGAGGAGGATAATGAGGAGAGGAGGGGCCAGACGGGGAGAGGTGGGAGGACACCGCCCGAGGGGTGTCCCTGGCTCCGCGAGGGAGCCCCGACCGCAGTGCCCTCGCGCCTCCGGAGTAGCCTGGCGGTCTGGCAGCACCTTCGGCGCCCCCCGCCTCCCTCCTCCTCCTCCTCCTCCTCCTCCTCCTCCTCCTCCTCCTCCTCCTCCTCCTCCTCCTCCTCCTCCGCCTCCCCGTGCTCCCGCGGCCCCGACGGCGCAGGAGGCCCCCGCCCCCCCCTGCCGCAGGACGGCCACCAGGCGCTGCCCGCGAGGCCAACCAGGGGGCCCCACAAGGGAGCCGCGGGGCCGCCCCGAGGCGCCCGCGGAGGCGCCCGAGGCCGCCGCCCAGGCGCGCCCCTCCCCCCCGTGGCGCCGAAGGCGGCTCCAGGAGGCTCGAGGCAGCGACTCGCGGAGGCCCATCGGCCGTCGGGGGTGGACAGACCTCCTGCCCTGACACGTCGATGAAGGAACTGGCCGTGTTCGGTGCGCGAGCGGGCGTCGCGGCCGTCCTTTCTGCGGGTCCGGGTCCGTCGGTTTCGGTCCCAGGCCGTTGTTCATGAAGGGGAGGTGAGGTTTGTCCACGGCCGAGAGTCGACCCCTGTCTTCGGGTGTTGCTAGAAGTGCCCCTGGCCCAAGGTGCCCCCAGGGTTCTCTCGGGGAGGCCCAGACGGCCTCCAAAGCACCCTCGGTCGACCCCTGCCTGTCTTCGGGTGCTGCTAGAAGTGCCCCTGGCCCAAGGTGCCCCCAGGACTTCCAAGGAGGCCCCCGCGGCCTCCGGAGCACCCCTCGCGAGGCCCCGAGGGCCCCAGGGGCTCCAAAATGGAGCGAGAAGCTGGGGGCACCTTGGGTCGGGGGCACCTTTAGCAACCCCCGAGTCTACTTGACAGGCGACCCAGACAGCGGCCAGCGCCACGCCTCGCCGCGGCGCCCGATAGATCGCGGGACAGAACATGTGGCACAGACGCGAATGAGCGTCGATGTTTGTGAGCTTCGTTGGAAAAGGAGACGAAAACGAAAGCCCATCAACTAGTGCAAACGAGGGGGCGGAATGTATGTGCCTGTGTCTCCCTGGGCTCATTCACAGCATCCTCCACGAACCGCCAGAGCTCGGAGGTCGCCGAAGCATCCCAGTCCGAGTCTCTCCCGTCCCTGGCTTCGTCCTGAGTTCGGGCGGGTGGTACCGGGGGGGGGACCTGAATCGGAATCTGGAGCATATACACCACCAGTGGCGGGCTGTTTTGCAATCCCAAGACATTTTGAGGGTCGGCGACGACGTCGGGGTGGTGTGGTGTATACTTGTTTCCCCGTTTTCCCGTGACAATAACGAACATGTATACACCAAAACCTCGTATAAACCAGGATCCGCTTTGCTGTGCGAGTTTCGGTGCGGGGCCAGAAAAAGCGTCGGTGTATAGAGTTCGGCTCCTTACTAAATTGGGGGATGAAGAAGACGGCCCTGAAGGAGCCCTTCTATGGAGGGTCCTTTTCGGTTCGGCCCCTGTTGGCTCCAAAAGGGCCCCTGAAGGGCTCCATTAGAGCCCGTTTCTTTACCCCCCCCTAGCTGCTTCGATACGCCCGTTATGATACGCAGCACGTGCTGTGCTCAGAACGTCCGCGTCAATACGTTGCGTGTTGGTTCTTCGCATTGGCCACGTTTTGGCGAACGTATCGCGCTCTAGCCGCGTTTTCAGTCTACGTGCTGAGCTCCGTATCAATACGCTGCGTGCTGCGTCTTGCGCCCCGGGGCAGCCGAGTTCATCCCCCCTGTCGGCCACCCCCCATTGTCACCCGCCCGACGTTGGGAGGAGCCCAGGCGCTCGCCCTCCGACAGGTGCACTACACCGACGCCGCCCTGAACATACAGAGCATCACCTCGCCGCTCGGGACGCAGATCCCTCAGGCCGCTCGTCCCGGCTTCCGGCAGGAAGCGCCGCAGCGACCTGCTTGAGTTCGCAGTTTGCCCCGCAAAAGCCCCGTCCACCTCTGTCCCAGCACGCGTGCCGCCACGCTTTCCAGCAGCTCCTCCTCCAGAGGTTCCAGAGCTCCTCTCGAGGACCTTCCTGCAGCTTCTTCGGCAACAGAGCGAACCACACCACCCCGCCTGCGGCCCTCCGTGTCGCGCTGCGGCTCGTCGGGGGCCGCCTGCGCATGCTGCGTGAGGGGCCCACGCCGGATGTCCTGCTACGCGCTGGGCCCTGTGAGGCCGCAGGTGGGGCGGTGCCGTTTGCTCTCTGGTCCTCCTTCTGGTGCCTCGCTGTCCAGGATCTGGATCAGGTCGGGCCTGTCCCCCTTCAGGGGGGTTTTCGACGCCGCACGTCCCTCAGGCCGCGGGCGCGGGCTACGGCTTCCGGGTGGGCGGGGAGCCCCGCTGCGGCGTCGCGTACTTCGGCGACGGGGCGGCGTCGGAGGCCCCGGCGGCCTCGGGCCGCCGCCTCTCCTCGAGGGGGGGGGGGGGACGGTGAGCTCGTGGCTCCGAGGTGGGGGGCCATCCATCACTGCCGTTGAGCAGGGCAGGTCCTTCTACAGTAGGAGTGCTCAAAAACAGTTCTAGGCAAAGACAGTCTGGGGACGATTCTCGGATGATCTTTGAAGATGTTGGATTCTTTTGTCTGGATATGAATGATTCTCCGTCTGACGTCCGCCTGTGGGAGGATCTACCCAACCTAAGGCTACCGCCTGGGGGATCGATCCTCGGGGACCTCGGCGGGCTGTGGATATGGGCATGTCTGGGCCATGGGGTGGCCAGTATATCCGTATCCACCGCCTGCCCGGGTCCCCGAAGATCGATCTCCCAGGCGGCGGTGATGGACGAATCCCCACCTTCGCAGGCCTAGAGCTTGACACCAACACCAAGATCGGCGGTGTGCCTCCACCGAGGGAAGACGATCCCGATTTCGGTGATGGTGGTACTATTTTGGCTTCCAAGGTGGCCGAAATATTACCACCAACACCCAAATCGAGGAGCATCTTCCCCATGTGGAGGCAACGCCCTGTGCTGGTGTTGGTGCCAATGTCCAGGCCTCCAACACCTCGCAATGACGAAGATGTTGCGGGATCGCGTCGGCGCCGACCTTGGTCACGGTCCATGCCTCCCGTCGCCGACTTTTGAGGGCGACCCACGGATTGACGACGACATAGGTGGACGATAGCCAAGATCGGCATTGACGCTTCTGCGTTCAGCCTTGGTCATGGCTGTCGTTTCCGATCCCTCTCTCTCTCTCTCATTCTGCCCCTCCCTCTCTCTCTCTCTCTCTCTTTCTCTCTCTCTCTCTCTCTCTTTCTCTCTCGGACGAGGGAGCACTAGATGGCCACAGACGCCTGTGGGATCGCGTGGAATTCTTGAATCGGCGCGCGGATTGCGCGAGTAGTGGAGTTTCATGCGCCAGGCAGGGGGTCCAAGAAATCTGCGCGGACATCTGGATCTGGACATTAATGCTTATGCTTTGTTCGGGGAAGCGCAAGACCCGAGTAAGCCGGAACTCGGGTTTGCCGACGTTTTTTTGACGAGCGCGTCCTGGATTTTGACGGTCCAGTTTTCGTGGGATGTCTGCAGCGGGAGCTCGCGTCAAATTTCAGATTGGGCCTCGTCATTCTTATGATGGCCCCGTCGGACCAACCCGAGTCCCCCGTACCCGAGTCTTACGTCTCCCCGATGTGTTCCTGCTCTATTCAGCGTCGCACACAAGTGGGTGGCGCGATGGGAGCGGCCTTCCAAGAGAATGGTGGGGTTCTTCGGGGGCACGGGGCTTCTGAGCACGGCCCAGGGGCGCCTTACAAGCTTGGAGGGCGTTTAAGGCCCCCCCGCCTTAGAAGGTCAACGCCCTTTTCTCCACGCCCATGAGCGCGCCGCAAATCCTCCACCACTTGTGACAGGAATCGGGGATGGAATCTGTTTGTCGTTTCGGCCTTGGAGGGGGCAATTTCGGGTCCAGGGAATTCCGAACATCCATCGGGCTGAAAACTTGGCGGGATGGACATTGGGAGGGGCCGGGGGAATGGTTAGAGGGAGTTTCGATGTGTGGGCAAGCACATCAGTACCGATGCTTTTCTATCGGTTTTGCCTTTTGGGGCCTTTCCAGGGTGGCCCTCGTCGCCACGGCGGGATTCGCTTTGAAATTCCAGTCAGGATGCACCCCGGGAGAGGCCAAGGGAGCAGCGATGTGAGTTACTGTTGTTTCCCCAGATGTCTAACATGGGAACGGGCTTGACGTTGTTCCGCCCGCTGGCTGGAACGGCGGTGCCGCAGATGCTACATCCTGGCACGAGTTCGAAGGCAAGCAATCTGCAGTTGCGAAAACGAGGGTTTCTGAGCGCCGCGGTCTACAGTGGGGGCCAGTGCCAAGAAACACCCTGCCCGCCTCCAGGGTGCCCTGGGTTTCTTGGGTGTCGATGGGTTTGCTATGCAAAGCGTGACGTTCCCCCACCCAAAGTCAGTGGACGTCCTGGGATCTCAGGGTTGGGTTTCTCGTGGCAGGCTTCTTGTGGACTGGCCTCCACTGTAGCCGGTCAGCCCCGCGGGGGCCGAACCTGGTTCCAAGAATCGGGGGCGGAAAAGAGGGGGGTGATGACTAGGGGGGGGTGGATATCATGGCGGGGGGCATGATATTTTCCCAGATTTTATAGCGCCTCTTCTTATTTCATTACGTCCCTGGCCTCCCCGCTGGGCCGCGCACATGCCGCCGGTCATGATTTGCACCCCCCCCTCTTGGACACCCCCTTCTTTGCCGCTCCCGAAAGAAGCGCCAGCTGAGACAGCGGCGGCCCTCCCGCTCAGCCCACATCCGTTCGACGCCTGGCCCCAGAGGCCCTCTCGGGTTCCATGACTGGCCCGCCTTTGGATCGGGCGACGAAATCTATACATATCCACTGCTCCCTGGCCAGGCTTATTCTGAACCCAAGAGATGTGTATACGCCCTCCTGGCCAAGCCAGGAGGGTGTGGCGTATACACTGTTGCTGGGTCCAGGATGGGCCTGGCCAGGGAGCACTGGCCCGCCTTTGGAGGCAACTCCTAGGAAGCCACCTGCGGACCCTAATTACCCCCCCCCCACACCACCCTACGATTCCTCGGTGGGGGAGGTGGGGTTCGCTGCGCTCGGGATTTCTCGGGGGGGGAGCTGGGGTTCGCTTCGCTCGGGAGGTACCGAGCCGAGCGACGCGAACCCCAGCTCTCTCCCCTGAGAACTCGTGGGGCGGTGGGGGTAGGGTCCGCACGCGGACTCCCGAATCCAGCCGCGGCGACGAGAGGCTTCCAGGAGGAGGAGGAGGAGGAGGAGAAGGGGAGAGGAGGACCAGGAGAGAAGCTTTCAGGAGGGAGAAGCTTCCACGAGGGAGAAGCTCCCAGGAGAGGAGGGGGAGGAGGAGGAGGAGGAGGAGAAGGAGGAGGAGGAGGAGGAGGCGGAAGGCGACACGGACGAAGCATGGCAGGGCGGGCCCGCGCCGCTTCGCTCCTAAGGGTTTTGTTCGAGGTGATGTCCTGTCCTTTCCTGTCCTTCGAGCAGAGGGGTCGACTGCGTACCGAATCGATGTACCCCAGGATTGGCGTGCCCACCTAGTCGACCAACCAAACAATACGCAGACTGTTCGCAGATCGACGGAACATGATACGTATCTTTGTGCAGATTCAGCGTTGAATTCAAGCGTGGGGTAATTCAATGCCATAATCGATCCCATACTCCTCTCCTATCCTGTCTCCCAGCTCGTCCTCCGCCGCCTGCTGCTGCTGCTGCTGGTGCTGCTGCTGCTGCTGCTGCTCCTCTCTTATAGCTCCGTCTACTCGTCCTGGTCCCTGCGCTGCAGCTCCGGCCTCCTTCACCTTCTCCTCCCTGCTCATCCATTCCCGCCAGTGGTCCTCCTGGTCCTCCTTTGCCTCTTGCTTCCTCCCCCCTCCCTCTCATCATCCGCCGATGTCCTCCCCCGCCTCTTGACATCGCTCGGGCGTGTGCAGTTTTTCCTCGGCGAGGACTTTCGAGGAGCATCTTGGATCATCCTACGAAAAAAATACATTCACGAGATGGAGCACTGCACGGGGAATGGACGTCCGAGCGATGGCGAGCCCTCCTCCCTTCCTCTCTTTCCTGCCTTTCCCTCCTCCGTTTCCTCCCCTGGCCTTGCCCTCTTCCTTCCCTCCTGTCTGCCTCCCTCCTTCCCCCCCTTCCCGCCAACACCAAACCCTCCTAAACCCTCCCACAATATCTGGCTGACTCCATTTCCTCACCGACGTTGTGTTCTGTTCCTATCATCGGCACCCTGGGCCTCGGACCACTTCCCCAGATCGGGGCTCACGAGACGGGGGTCAATGCAAACGGGGCTCAGTCAGACTGCCAGATCTTGCAGGAAACTGCAGAGTCGGGGTCGCATTGATCCGGGCTTCAGCGCAGGATCCTGCAGGATCTTGCAGGATCCTGCAACGCCCGACCGACCCGGGTTTGGACTGACCCATGCCATTCGGTCCCTCATGAGAGCCGGATTTTCATCCCGAGCTTGTGGCCCAGAACGGTGTTCGGAGGCCAAACCATTGAGAATGATTCGCCATCGCGATGTTCGCGCGTCGCCCAGGTCTGATGGAACATATTTTCTTTCCCTCTTCCTCCCTGCCTCCTTCCCTGCCTCCCTTCCTCCCTGCCTTCCTCCCTGCATTATTTTCTCCTTTTCCTCCTCCTCCTCTTCCGTCTTCCTACCTCCCTATCTACCTCTCTCTCCACCTCGTCGCAGGGCGACTTTGCCGTCGCCCTGAACTTCGCGGCCACACTCAGGGCGCAGACCATCTTCATTTGCCGCAACAACGGCTGGGCCATCTCCACCCCAGCCAAGGACCAGACGAGAGGAACGAAGACGACAGCAGCAACGCCAACAATACTCATTTTGAGACTGTTCGCTGTTACTGGCACGCGTGTTACCCCAACCCTCGATACCCGCCCACTTCGTCTTCGATCGCACCCCCTGTCGGGGGGAATCTCTTCCTTGTCGGCCGCTGACTCAAATGCGTGGTACTCTCGAGCGAGAGCGCCGTTCCTGAGCTCGGGGGGCCTCTCTGGCCAGGGGCTCTCGGAATACATATGGAGAAATATCGTACGGGAACCCTTGTCGCCATGTCTAGGCCTCCACCAACTTGCCGGAATTACGAGAACGTCTCGAGCGAGAGCTCCACTTTTGAGTTCGGGGGCCTCTTTGGCCAGGGCATCTGGGAAAACACCTTGAGGAAGTATAGAACGAGAGTCCTTGTCGTCGTATTTGAGCCTCCACAAATTTGACTGGATCGCGAGAAAGTCTCGAGCGAGAGCGCCGTTCCCGTTTTGGGGGCCTTCTTGGCCAGAGGCTCTCGGAGTAAATCGTGAGGAAGTATCGAGCAGGAGCCCTTGTCGTCGTGGCTGGGCCTCCGCCAACTTTATTGAAGTGCGAGGAAGACTCGAGTCGAGCGAGAGCGCCGTTCCTGAGTTCGGGGGCCTCTCTGGCCAGGGCGTCTCAGGGTAATTTGTGAGGAAGTATGGAGCGGGAGCCGTTGTCTTTGTAGCCGGGCCTTCAAGGCCACACACTTCCACTCAAGCTCGCGCTCGAGCGGGAGCCTCGTTTTCAGAGGAAGTGCAGCCGGCGTCGAGGCGAGTGCGCGCGGAACCGTTTCCAGGGATCAACAATAGCTGTTCTCTAGCAAGGGGTATTCATCAGTAACAGCAACAATGAAACCGGAGAACAAAACCCAATCAACATGTTTTAAGGCTATAGGGCTATAGGGCTATGGAACTATAGGGCTATAGGGCCATAGGGCTATACGTCTATAGGGCTAGCTATAGGGCCATAGGGCTATAAGGCTGTAGGACTATAGGGCTATGGAGCTATGGGGTTATGGGGCTATGGGGCCATAGAGCCATAGGGCTATGAGTATATAGGGCTATGGGGCTATATGGCTAAAGGGCCATAGGGCTATAGGGAGATAGGGCTATGGGGCTATAAGGCTATAGGGCGATAAGGCTATAAGGCTGTAGAGCTATAGGGTCATAGGGCTATTGGGCTATAGGGCTATTGGGCTATGGGTCTATGGGGCTATAGGGCTATAAGGCTATAGGGCTGTAGGGCTATAGGGCTATAAGGCACCTGGGCTATAGGGCCACAAGGCACCCGGGCACCTGGGCACCTGAGCACCTGTGCACCGGGGCACCCCGGCACCCAGGCACCCGGGCACCCGGGTACCCGGGCGGGCCTCGGAAATTGGTGGCAAACCTCATCTAATCATATGTATCCGCCAGACCCCTACAGAGGCAAGCTTTGATTGGGGAACAACGGCGACGACGACGACGACGGCGACGACGAAGCCCTCTTGAGAGGCAGCGTACTTCCAGTTTTTTTCTAATAGCCTGCCTGCGCCCTCCGAGAGGAGCAGTACGCCGGAGACGGCATCGCCGCCCGCGCCATCGCCTACGGCGTGAGCTGCATCCGCGCCGACGGCAATGACCTGGCGGCGGTTGTCCTCGCGACACAGCAGGCCCGCGAGCTCTGCCTCGGCGGCGAACCCGTGGTCGTGGAGCTGATGACCTACCGCAGAGGCCCAGCCATCGACGCAGAGCTCTAGGCCTCCCAGGAGTACAGTCGGACCCAGATATAAGATCGAGGTCGGTTCGGGGGAGGGTACCTGATGTTTTTCGTGCTTGTTGGATGTTCTTGGATGTTCTTGTGCACCCTGGGGAGGGTACCCCTGATGTGCCTGTGCGTTGTGGACGGCGGAGGGTCTCGTAATATTGAGGATGTTTTTCTGACCTAGGTCCGACCGTAGATGCCGTCAGCGGATCGCGCTGCATCGCCGGTGCATCGGCGATGCGGCTCGATGTGGAGCCGGATCTTCTCCATGCCGTGGTCGCCGCTGCATCGCCGATGCCGCCGATGCATCGACGATGCATCACAAATGCATCACTGATGCGTCACCGATGCATTGCGCGATCGGGCCCAGTCTCGGAGGCCTCTGAGGGCCGAGCTCGAAGCAGAACCATCGGCACACGCGCACGCTTTCGGAGCTCCGCGCGGAGAGTCTTGGACCTGCGCCGGCCCCCCCTTTGGGTGCGTCTCCGGCGCTGCCCCTGGGCCAGGGGCGCTCCGCGCGCCAGGGGAGCGGGGTCCGGCGCCGATCCGAGAGGTCCGCGCGGGCCTCTGGCGGCGAGCCCGTCGTCGTGGAGCTGAGCACGGGCTGCAGTGGCCCAGCCTGGCATCGCTCGGACGTGTGCATTTTTTTCTCGGCGAGGACCCTGGAGGAACATCCTGGACCATCGGGCAAAAAAAGCACGCACGAACCCGGAAAACGCACGGGAAATGAACGTCCGAGCGACGGCAATGCCAGCCCTTCGACGCAGAGCAGGGGGGGCGCTCCCTCGCTCGCGCACGGGCGTTCGAGGTCCCCTGGTTTTTTTCCTGTGGGTAGGGCAGGAGCCGGCACCGCTGCCCGTGCCTCGTTTTCGCCATCGGGAGCCTCCTGCCCTGACCGTCCAGGAGGGCTCAAAGGTAGCGCCGGGACCAGATTCCAGTCGATATTTGAAGCAGTCCAGATCGGCCTGCAGGTCTGTAGGTTTTTTTTTCGGTTCTCTGGAAGTTCAGGGTTGCAGGTCCTCGTCGCCACGGCTGGGTTCGCTTCGAAATCATGGTCAGAACGCACCCCGGAAGCAGTCTTGGGGCAGCGGTATCTATAATTGTCTGTCGTCCCCCCATTTGGGGCGTTTTTGTTGATTCCCAGCTGCTTTCCAGCCTCGGAGTGCGTTCCAGCAGCTGCACCTCGCCGAGAGCGTTCGGGGGGTGCCCGAAACGTCTCGAGCGGCCACCAGGAACTCGGGTCATAACTCTAATCTCAAGGTAAATGATGTGGGTTTGTGGCTTGCCCGACCCGATTCGATTCCTATCTTCCGTTGATTCGGTGAGGTCCCGTGATCGCCGGCGCCTGTTCTTGTGCATTCTGCTGTTGCCGATTTGATTCGGTTCTGGCTCAGTGTCGATGCATCCCGATCCGACGCACGTGTCGATTCGATCTGATTGCGAAGGCCTTACGGCCGGTGCCGCCGACCCTGAATGGCGACGACGACGACGACGACGACGACGACGACGACGACGACGACGACGAGCGCTCTTGGGGGCCTCTTGGGGGTAGTTTGTGGGCCTCCTGGGAAGCTCTCAGGGGCCGCTTGGAAGCCTCGCGGGGGCCTCTTGGGGCTTTCTGGGGGTCTCTTGGAGGGGGCCTGGGACGTCTTGGAGGCGATTCGATATGATTTCCCGATTCGATGCTGACTGATCCTGCCCCCCCGGGGACGACCGACTGCAGAAGCCTGCGGTCGGGAAGGTCTGCTCGGCGTGTCGCGCCGCCGGCTGTGGCCCATCGCGCTTCGGTGCGACACGTTAGGCCCGCCCCTCCTCCTCCCTCCGCCTCCTCCTCCTCCTCCTGCTCCTCCTCCTCCTCCTCCTCCTCCTCGGACCCAGGGGGTGGGCGCGGACCAGTCAGAAGAAATGACTACGATGTTTCGGAGTTCCGCGGGGACCTCCGAGCGTGTACGACCGAGCAGTCGATGCACGTTGTGACCTTTCTCTGACTCATTGTCTTGCCGATCGGGGCACCCGACCGAGCTCCGGGGCCGGACCCCCCCCCCTCCCCCAGCGTCCCCGCTTCATGCCGAAACGCCGCAGAAGGAAACGTTCACCTATCGGGGGACCGGGTCCGAGGGCCCCGACGAGCCCAGCCACTCCTCGAAGCCAGCGTCTGCGAGGGCCCCCCCCCTTCGTGTCGGCGCGCGGCACCTCCCCTTAGTTTCGCCACGAACGCGCTTATCTCACGTCAGGGCCCCTCTGCTCCTGTCGGGAACCGGCCGACGTCGAGGTGGTGATGATGATGATGATGATGGTGGTGGTGGTGATGATGATGATTAGGATGATGGTGATGGTGATGTTGGTGTTGTTGATGTTGATGGTGATGATGATAATGAGATTTTGATGCTGATGCTGATGCTGATGATGTTGATGATGATGATGACTACAATGACGATGAAGGACGATGATGATGATGATGATGTTGATGCTGATGCTGCTGCTGATGATGATGATGATAATCATGCTGATGCTGATGCTGATGCTGATGATGGTCACGATGGTGGCGATGCTGATGCTGCTGATGATGTTGCTGATGATGATATTGATGCTGATGATGATGATTATGATGATGACGATGACGACGACGATGGCGATGACGATGGTGGTGGTGATGTTGATAATCATGCTACTGCATATGCGAATGAGGATGTTGATGTTGATGATTATGACGACGATGACGATGCTGATTATGATGATGATGCTGTTCTGATGATAGTCATGCTGATGCTGATCATGATGTTGATTGTGATGATAATGATGCTGCCGATGCTGATGATGATGCTGATGATGACGATTACGACGAAGAACGCTGGTGATGATGATGGCAATGATGCTGATGCTGATGCTGATGATGTTGCTGATGATAATCATGCTGATGTGGATGCTGATGATGATGATGGCGGCACTAACGATGATGATTATGATGAGGTTGATGTTGATGCTGATGCTGCAGATGCTGATGATGATGACGGTGATGGTGATGGTGATGCTGTCAATGTTGTTGATAACGATGATGACAATGACGGCGATGATGATGATAGTCATGTTGATACCGATGTTGATGGTGAGACTGATGACGATGATAATTATGCTGTTGCTGGTGCTGATGATGTTGATTCTGATGCTGATGCTGCTGATGATGATGATGCTACTGATGATGATGGTGATGATGCTGATGTTGATAGTGATGACGATGATGACGATGTCAGCAATGATCATGATGCTGATGCTACTAGATGTTGCTGATGATGATGGTGGCGGCGATGATAATGACGATGCTGATGCTACTGGTGATGATATTGATGATGCTGGTGTTGATGGTGATGACGATGATAACAATGACGACGATGCTGATGATGCTGATGAGCATGCTGATGCTCATGATGACGAAGGTGATGATGACGATGCTGATGGTGATGGTCCGGATGATGATGATTCATGAGGATGTTGATGATGATGATGATGATGATGTTGCGTATGATGATGCTGATGATTATGGCGATGACGACAATGACCAAGATGATGATGATGATGATGATGATGGTGATGATGGTCTTGCTGATGTGGATGCTGATAATCATGCTGATGCTCATGCTGGTGCTGATGACGCTGTTGATGTTGCTGCTGATGATGATGATGATGCTAGTCGTGCTGATGCTGCTGATTCTGATGCTGATGAGGTTGATGGTGATGCTGATTATGATGCTGAAGATGCTGCTGCTGCTGCTGATGCTTATGATGACGATGACGACGATTATGATTATGATGATGGTCAGGCTGATGCTGATGCTGGTAATGATGGTGATGATGCTGATGATGATCATGATGATTATACTGTTGATGATGACTGATGCTGATGCTGATGCTGATAATTGTGATGCTGATGATGATGCTAATGATGATTATGCTGATGATACTGATGATGCTGATCGTGATGATGAGCATGGTGTTGGTGGTGCTGGTGTTTATGATGATGATGATGATGATGATGATGATGATGATGATGGTGATGATGATGATGATGATGATGATGAGTTGCCAAGTTCTGGCTTCCAGCCTGGAACTACGGCCGACCTCCCCGACACCCCAGTCAGTCAGGTCAGGATCGTGTCAACGCGACCCGTGGGACTCCGACACGGCCTCAAAGAGCAACAACGCGGCTTAAGATAGCCTCTGGATTGCTCAAGATGCCTCTTGGATGGTGCAAGAGGGACCCAAGGGCACCACCAGACCGAGCCTCCAGTTGCAACCGTCAAAATTCGTCCATCGGTTTCAGAAACATTTTCGCGTTCAAATTCAGAGACATGGGCAGCGGACGGCGAGGACGGGGGCGGAGGAGGCGAACGACTACAGGGGAGGAAGGTACAGGAGGAGGAAGCGGATGAGCCGGAGGAGACAAACGATTAGGATGATGTCGACGATGATGGTTATTGCGACGGCGATGTTGATAATGACGATGATTGCGATAACGATGGTTATGGCGATGGGGCTGGTGATGACGACGACGATGATGAGTACTGTCAGTCGGATGTGTACGATGATGACGATGATGATGACGGTTACGTTGGCGGCGATGTTGATGTTGATGATGAGGATGATGGTGACGATTATGCAATAATAATGGTGTGCAGGTGATGATGTTATTGATGACGGTGATCAGGTGGATGAACGGTGGAGACGGGGTGTTCGAAGATGTTTTTCGAGCCCTCCACCCCGGTACAGCCCCACGAGCCCCCTAGAGGCCTCCGACGCGCCCCTAAGAGCATGCAGGGTTACAGCAGCCTTTCAGACTTCAACCGGCCCCGAAAGACTTCGAATAGATTTAAAGATGCACCCAGCAAGACTCTGTCCAAATCCCAGGCAACGGAGAGGATACGACGATGACGATCTCATTCTATAACGCTGTTGATGCTGATACTGGTCAAGC